CATAGCATTGCTGTAAAACTCATCAAATTTAGTGCCGATTGTTTCTGATTGTTTCTCGGCGTTTTCATCGACTTGGTAACTTTTAGATGCGCTGCTGTTTTGAGATATGAAAAAAAAAGGGGAGGGGTTGTCAAATGTATTTAGAAAGTCAATAAATACCTCGTCTGGATTGGCTGGATGGTGGTGAAATTCTACACGAGTAGACAACATAAATGATTTTAAAATTTCTTGTTTTCCTTTTCGGCTGATAGAAAGTTTTTATATCCGTACTTGAATTTTATTTGATGAGAATGATTTCGACAAATATGACATCCAAACAAATAATACAATTAACGTAAATAAAAGGAATTATTTCAGTCCGGCATCTTCTAAGAACATTGACATTGAATGTTCAAATCAAGCGATCTTAAAATGTCACATTAAAAAAAAACAAAAAAAACAACAACAACAAGTAGCGTCGGAGAGGGGGGGGGGCGCAGAAGGTCCACCCCCGGGTGGCACTTTTTAAAATATTAACTCGCGGCGTATCAATGGGGGCATAGGGGAGGGGGTCCACCCCGGATTGAGCTTTGTTATCATATTGTACATCAATTGGTGCGATGAAAGTTTTCTCCAGCTGAATGTCTCTAAAACAAAAGGAGATGGTTGTTGATTTCCAGAAGGGGGAAACACCAGGTTACAGATCTCAACATAAAAGGATCAAAGTGTAGAGAAAGTGGGGGCATAAATGGACTTAGGTGTCACCATTAATAATAAGCTAACTAGGCATGAGCACGGCCAAATGCTGTATAAATTATGTCAACCAAATTCTTTTCTACCTTAAAAAACTGTACAATTTCGGTGTAAATAAACAAGTCGTTAACTTATTCTACAGTGCAACAATTGGGAAGCCTACTTAATTTCAATATTACCTGCTAATGGGACCCGGGTGCGAATGGCGGCGCTGCGTGTCCGGGGCCATTTTAACTAAATGCTATTGGGATGGCATTTGTGGTAGTTTTATTTTAGTTAAACTCAATTAGTAAGTTTACAAACATATAGTCCATTCAATTATCTTTCGTTTGATGCCTTATTTTGTCTTACAATTACAAACACAACAATAATATTTTAATTATATCTTTAATCCCAACCTCTCACTTCTGGTACTCGGGTGCGAATAGTCGAAGCCTTCCCATTTCCAATGTGCTTGAGGCATGGGTAAACTTATGTAATGTGCCCATTGAACTTTAAACTGATACAATATATTAAATTACGATTTTAGATAACTTGTTCAAGAAGACTAACTCCTCATGCCCATCTAAAAATATTTCGTTTTTTCCCCTTAGAGACGGTTAGGGTTTGCATTTTTTCCCCTTAGAGACGGTTAGGGTTTGCATTTTTTCCCCTTAGAGACGGTTAGGGTTTTCGTTTTTTCCCCTTAGAGACGGTTAGGGTTTTCGTTTTTTCCCCTTAGAGACGGTTAGGGTTTTCGTTTTTTCCCCTTAGAGACGGTTAGGGTTTTCGTTTTTTCCCCTTAGAGACGGTTAGGGTTTGCATTTTTTCCCCTTAGAGACGGTTAGGGTTTTCGTTTTTTCCCCTTAGAGACGGTTAGGGTTTTCGTTTTTTCCCCTTAGAGACGGTTAGGGTTTTCGTTTTTTCCCCTTAGAGACGGTTAGGGTTTTCGTTTTTTCCCCTTAGAGACGGTTAGGGTTTTCGTTTTTTCCCCTTAGAGACGGTTAGGGTTTTCGTTTTTTCCCCTTAGAGACGGTTAGGGTTTTCGTTTTTTCCCCTTAGAGACGGTTAGGGTTTTCGTTTTTTCCCCTTAGAGACGGTTAGGGTTTTCGTTTTTTCCCCTTAGAGACGGTTAGGGTTTTCGTTTTTTCCCCTTAGAGACGGTTAGGGTTTTCGTTTTTTCCCCTTAGAGACGGTTAGGGTTTTCGTTTTTTCCCCTTAGAGACGGTTAGGGTTTTCGTTTTTTCCCCTTAGAGACGGTTAGGGTTTTCGTTTTTTCCCCTTAGAGACGGTTAGGGTTTTCGTTTTTTCCCCTTAGAGACGGTTAGGGTTTTCGTTTTTTCCCCTTAGAGACGGTTAGGGTTTTCGTTTTTTCCCCTTAGAGACGGTTAGGGTTTTCGTTTTTTCCCCTTAGAGACGGTTAGGGTTTTCGTTTTTTCCCCTTAGAGACGGTTAGGGTTTTCGTTTTTTCCCCTTAGAGACGGTTAGGGTTTTCGTTTTTTCCCCTTAGAGACGGTTAGGGTTTTCGTTTTTTCCCCTTAGAGACGGTTAGGGTTTTCGTTTTTTCCCCTTAGAGACGGTTAGGGTTTTCGTTTTTTCCCCTTAGAGACGGTTAGGGTTTTCGTTTTTTCCCCTTAGAGACGGTTAGGGTTTTCGTTTTTTCCCCTTAGAGACGGTTAGGGTTTTCGTTTTTTCCCCTTAGAGACGGTTAGGGTTTTCGTTTTTTCCCCTTAGAGACGGTTAGGGTTTTCGTTTTTTCCCCTTAGAGACGGTTAGGGTTTTCGTTTTTTCCCCTTAGAGACGGTTAGGGTTTTCGTTTTTTCCCCTTAGAGACGGTTAGGGTTTTCGTTTTTTCCCCTTAGAGACGGTAATTCAGCAATACGCTTTATATCTCTTCCAAGTAAAAGAAAATATAAAATATTCTCATCATACACGAAGAACTATTTTTGTATGAAATGTTATGAATTGTGGCGTCATTAAGTCATCGAATGTTCTAATGAAGACGTTAACATAGTAAAGTAGGCCTAATCGAATGTTATAGTCCCGTCAGTATCACTGAAGCCAGCTAATGAATGAAATTAATTAGTCAAATTCAAACCATGTTGCATAATGGTCGACTCCTCGTTTCTACTAGACTGGGGTTAATTCGTCAAGTTCTTCCACACGTTGTAATATTGAATCAACTCAAGTCCTTTATCAAAATAAATGTAGCTTTAATAAATAAATATACACACAGGCTTTAATTTCCATATACACATACATATAGCACAGCTCGCTATCAGATAGAATTGAACAAACAAATCCTACTTTCACAAAGTTCCTTTCACGGCTTCCAGACGAATGAAACGTACGTCACAATACAGACTAGACAATGCGTCACAATGGGCATAAAAATACGTCACCAAGTCAAAAGCTGGGAGAGCGTTCACTAACTAATAAAACTCTCAAACACACTGCGGTAACGAAACATATCATTCGGTCGCAACATTTATCAATGAACTCCCATACTCGACAATAAGCATACCCATCAAATGAGCAAAATATGGCCTAGTATGTCTGACTATCATAATTCATGAAATTACGTTGGTTTAATAATTTTTTTTTTTTTTTAAATGCATTTTTAAAGTTTAATAAGACATCACTAAATTTAATGAAATACTTGAACAACTGGCCTCTGTTATGTCTGATGGTCAAGATGAACACAATAAAGATGAGAATACATGTTTAAATACCTTTCATTGACCATTGTTGTGTCAAAAATAATTTTTCTTTAACTAAGATAGTATTGTAAGTAATAATGTACATATATTTGTACATTATTTATTGCGTTAAATATACATTTTTTGTACAGTATTCAATGGGAGAACATTTTTTGTACATTATTCACTGGAAGAACATTTTTTTTTTGTACACTATTCACTAAAAGAATTATACATTTTTTGTGGAATCATTGTTAAAGACACGTTTTCTGTTAAAAATGTTATGGAAGACCGACTCATTCTCCTGCCTGCCGTTCTGAGTCTTCTGCGCCTTCTTCGCCTCCATCTCCTCCTCGATCTCTTTCTCTCTCTCCTCCTCCAGTTTGACCAAGTCAAAATCCGTGACGGGCGTGTCGCTGATGGGTATCTTTATTCCTAGGATCATCGCCTTCTTCATCGACTGAATAAATCCTTTCCTATAGATCCTTACCTGCGAACGAGAGAGAGAGATTAACGAAGTTATTAAACTAAGTTACAATTCACCGATATATCATCCAGTAGAGAATCGATTATCCGAAATATTTGTGCCCCGACTTTGTTCAGACAAACTGTTTTCTATGATAACTGAACACTGCCTTGGAGGGATTCATTTTAAGACTCAAATTGCTCGTTTTACCATTGCGTACATAGCATAGATTTTTTTTTTTTGAAGAAGAAGAAAATGGTGAAGACTCAAATTTTGTTTCGGATCTTAAAACAGAGGGCTTTGCGTGGGATCATATCACAGGTTATTTGTTGGTGCAGGCGTTTAGTCTGTGATATGTATTATTATTATTATTTTTGAGCGTACTGTTCGCATCATTCCGCCCTGGTCACGGCAAGGGGCCAAGGGGTCCTATCTAGATTTTACGCCGATTTTCCATGCGTGTTGCGTTACATAATGATCTGTTTTTAAAACTGGGGGCAGTTTGGATAGTCGGCGTTTCTGTTAATCGGCATTGGACTAATCGAAGCCATAATATTGATTAGAGAATATTATGGTGAATTTAAGATAAGAATACATTTAAAAAAAGCATATTAAGGCAATATATTATATGTCTGCAGCGGATGAATCTAAAAATAAGAAGCTTGCACCATAATTTCTTGATGTTGAAGTCAACGGCCTGATACTGAACATACATACATACCACTTCATGATACTTCCCGTTAACCCTTTCAGGCCTGATATTGGGGAAGACAAAAATCCCCCCCCCCCTTTTTTTCCGTCACAATATCATCTATCGATATAGTTCTGGCCTGCACAATTCAAAATGTAAGGCGGGCCGTTATACTTTATGAAAAACCTGTGCGGGCCAAAAGAAAATAGGACAGGGGGGACGGCTATTAGGAAAATAATAAGAATAAACAATATTTTGCAACTTTGCGGGCCGCAAAGTGGGTGTGGCGGGCCGTATGTTGCGCAGGCCTGATATAGTTTAATAAAACTTAACAATAACATAGTTTTAAAAAAGCATTAAATAAGATATTCAAACCAACCCCTTCGTAGCAAGGGTCAATTCTAAAGCAAAGATTGTTCAATATATTATATTGTTAAGTAAAAGGTCTGTGAATACCTACCCCAGGGTTGAGCAACAGTGTGTACGCCACGTGCCAATTGAAACGCGCTGCCAGATTGGTTGTTCCTCTTATGGCTGGGTATTTCACTGGGGAATGCATAAAGAGAGACAGAAATAGTAAATTAAGGGGCCGCTTATATTCCAATTATAAATGGTTCTAAACAGCACAGGAATCCAAGTCAAAGTGTGATATTAGGCTTTTGACTTCTACGATTAAATTTTAGGACAGTAGCTAATTTCATGATGGCCGCAGTTTGATCAGAAGACGGAGGGCTGCTGTATATTAATACCAGAGTCCTACCCACGCGTTTTTTTTGTTGTTGTTGTTGTTGTTGTTGCAAAACCAGAAGTTTTCATTTTTTTATTTATAGGGGTGGGACACCGGGGGCGACGACTAAATGTGGCAACTCACCGCTTTCTCCGTCTGTCTCCAGCTGATTGTAACTGCCCAGGTTGGTCATCTCTAGAGACACGCCGCTGCTTTGACCCGAGGACTTCCTCGACTGGCTCAGAGACTTCAACAGTCTGATGAAAACGTTGACCGTGGGATTGGTGTGTGCGGCCTCCATGTGGATGTAACCCTGGTACGTGTTGAAACCTGACAACGACAGGTTATTCATTTTAGTTTTAATACAAGTTAACAATTTGAGGACAGAAAAATAATTATTTGTGATTGAGTATGAAATTTTAAACTATGTTCTAAGGACCTACCCCCCCCCCCCCACACACACACACTATTCATTAACCCAGCTTTGAAATGACTCACATGGTTATAAATTAATTAGATTTGCTAAATTTATTGTTCCATGTATAAAAATAATTTTTTGTGATTGTGTATGAAATTTTAAACTATTTTCTAAGGACCCACCCCCCCCCCCCCCACACACACACACTATTCATTAACCCAGCTTTGAAATGACTCACATGGTTATAAATTAATTAGATTTGCTAAATTTATTGTTCCATGTATTGATCGTTGATGATGATGATTGAGTACTTTATAGCTCGCGTGTACATTCTATTTTTAGCATGCTCACAGCGCTCTAGTTTCCAAAAATCTATTTAAAGAAAAAAAATCTTTTCCGTGACGTCAGAAATAGATGCACCAACAAAAAATATAATTAAAATAAACTTTGAAAATGACCGCGATCATTTGGGATAAAAAAAAATTCTTTCACATTTAGGCTTTTTTAAAGGAATGGTAATTGAAATCTAAATGAAATATTGTGTGTGGTTTCATTAAGGCGCAACAGTGCTGAAAATGATATTACCCAAGTGTGAACATGGATTATTTCCCTAACCGTATGGTCCCCGACGTATATTAACCAAATACCAAGCTGACAAAAATTCCCCATGACTTCTATTTTATAGCAGCTGCTGCTGGCTAGTACACGCTGAGGAAAGCCTAAATGTAAAAAAAATAAGTTAACTTTAAAAAAAAAATATATTACAGATATTTAATTCTCGTTAACTAAACTTATAGTTGGAATGGAGCTGTAACATGATCACTCGTAGAATGTATAGAAAACTCGTTCATAGCAAAGGCACAACTTCCGAAATAAGACGAAATACAGGTTTTTATTCATAAGCTCATCTCAGGCTCTTCGAGACTAAGACATCCCCAGAAGCCGGACGTTGAAGGACATTAGACTTTGCCGATGAGAAATGTTCTCAGATTCAGCTTCTTGTTAGTTCGCAATAATTTACCTGGGTCAAAAGATTCCCAATTCCTCGGCAGTGTACTTCTGTCCAGACGGCAGAGGAAGAGAGTCCCGACGACTGCGGCCTTGATGATTCTGAGCAAACAGGAGACCAGTCCCAGGAAGATGTTGTAGAAGAACATGAAGTACGTGAAGATGAAGAAGAGCCGTCTGACAAAGAAAAGAGTTATGAATTTAATGGCAAGTTTAAAAAAAAAAAAACTCTTCCTGTTTGTTGTTTTGGTGTTGTCATGCAGTGATGCTACACAAATAAATCTGCGACCTTCGGTTGGGGTGGGGGTGGGTGGCGATGAAGTCAAAATCATGTAAGTGGACATCATTTTCTTGAAAAATTGACAGCTGACATGACGGCAACAAGAGTATTGACATTAATGAATCTTTAATAAAGTGGTTCTTTATGGATATTCCAATATAAATAATTTAATCTTTGGATTGATTTCCGAAGCGCAGGAAACTATCTCCCAACTTCTACAGATCAAAAAAAACGAGGCCCCGAATATTCTGCCGCAACTCCCGTCAGGATGAAGCAATCATGATGCCTCCCCCCCCCCCAACCCCATGACACTACATTACCTCGAAGTATGTGTTTTAAATTTGCATTCCATGTAATTCTCTGTAATCATTAACCTGATGAGAAATTGATTGATTACGTTTAGAGATACAGGGGGGTGGGTGGGAGGGTATTCAAACGGGGATTGAATGTCTTGAAAGATGTCTTTCGATTACCCCCGTCTCTTCCAGCTTGCACGTTGTGCTCTTCAGAAACTTAAAAAAAAATTAATGTTTGTTTAACAGTTTTATTTTCTAGGCAACAACTTTGCTATTGCTAATTGGTGAGCTATTGGCGAGGTGGAAACTCACTGTATAAAATCCTGTCAGAGAGCGTCCGATGCTTCCCCCGTGATGGGCAGTAGGGGGAGATATTAGGACGTAGATATACCTTCGGGACCCCCTGGGAAAGTCGACGGCTAGTGTTGTGAGAGCAACATTACCGGCCAATGAATCGTCCTTAGACTGAGATGGCCGCCCGTAAAGCTAGTCAGTCGAGTGAAGTTACAGCCCTGGGATTTCCTGGCAGGAGGAGATCTCCAACGATGGTTCCTGGACTTTTCGGGCTTGAAAAAATGATGTGGGGTGGTGGTGGGGGAGTATTTTGTGGAGGGCATTAACAGCTTCTTAGATTTTATGTGTTGTATTTTTCCTATCAAAATATTTTTAACATACGGGGGGCCTCTTTCGAGTGATCGTCCCGTACAACGTCATTTAAAGTCCAATAGAATAGCGATCCCGCTGTAGAACATACATTTAGTCGCCTCTAGTAGCAGCTTTCACAATGTAGAACTAAAAAAATTAATCCAATATCTGTTGTAACACAATAGAATGACCCTTTTAGTCTAAAACGTGTTTTCACATAAAAGTATACCCGAATGATTTCATTGCTTGTTGTCAGAATATAGGTCACATCTTTTAGTTCAATAATCGTCATACTATACACGAAAATTATATAAAAAAACTCTTGTCATACTAAAAGCACGACGTAGAGTTCAAAGACCGTTGTCACACTATATAACAGCCCATTATTTCCAATACCTGTTGTCACACTATATACAATACCACTAAAAGTCCAATACCTGTTGTCCAACCTCAGGTGAGCACCGTCACCCTGCAGAAACGCATACCTGGCCAGCAACTTCTGGAGGATCAAGATGGCGATACCTATAAGAACACCCGGCCTGTACAAAAAAATAACAATGATGACTATGAAGAATACGCATTTACTATAGTGTTTAGACCATGAGAAGAAAACAATTATATCCTGATAACCCACAGCGCCCACACCGACTCACCAATCACTGGGGGCAAACATTTATTCCATTTAGCGTTTCTTTACAAAAATATTGACATTAAATTATGGTCGTCACAGTAGCCCTGTTCTTGATAAATAAATGGGCTTTGAATGTTGGGGGGTGGGGGGGGGAGAGATTGATCTCACTAACGTCGTAATGTCAGCACGAAGACCTACTGTGTAAATATCAGGTTGGCAGTGGAAACACATATGACATTTTAAAACTCTATACGTTTAAATTCTGGTAAACAAACATGTTAACTCTAATATTTAACGATCGTTGTGGTTACATATGTATGAAATAGTTCTTTCTTTTCCTTATTTTTTTTTTTTAAATTGAAATATGTTATCCAGACCCTATGATACGTCTAACAAAATTGTAAAAATATTTTGTTTAAAAAAAAAAAGACAGCTTTTTTCATTAAAAAAATAAAAATAAATAATTATTTTTTTTTTTTTTAAATTGAAATATGTTATCCAGACCCTATGATACGTCTAACAAAATTGTAAAAATATTTTGTTTAAAAAAAAAAAGACAGCTTTTTTCATTAAAAAAATAAAAATAAATAATAACGTGTGAGATTTCCTCTTGTCATCGAAACTCGTACTTTTGTAAGAACTAAAAAAAAAATACCTATGACTTATCGTACCGGTGGTGAAAATGTGCCACTTTCATTTTTTTTAAAAAGGGGATGCCACTAAATATTCTGAAAATGAATCGCTATCCCAAAGGTTTTTTTTTTTTTCCCTCTTAAAGTTAAAGTGCTAGTTTCAAACAGATGTACGAAGAGAATTATAATTCATTAATTTAACCACACATATTTCGAATGCTGAAAAGAATGTAAATGTTAAACATACAGAGATTGAAATGATTATTCAAAATAAGCTGTAGACTAAGCGATCAGCTCTTTAAAACTGGCGGGATCTTTAAATTAGAGACGTTGAAAGCTAAAAAAACCAGCGCAACACTCACGATTTCAATTGTGGTAAAAGTTTTTTTTTATATGTATTAAAAAAAGTCAACAAAAGACATTTCTATATTGACAAATTGGACAATTTCAGCGTAAACTAACAAGTCATCTACTTATTCTACCGTGCAACAGTTGGAAGCCGACTAAACGTCAGCATCACCTGCTGGTGTGGGAACTCATCGTCTGACATCAAAAACCAATTATTATATACACTGATCGTGTAAACAGTTTGTCCTAAAATATGTATTTATTCACGTGCTGGAAATAAGTATGTACAATGTAATACAAATATGTCATTTATTGGGATCAATAAAAGAATCTTATCTTATTTTTTATCTTTGAAAGACGATCATACATTTTTACTGTTCAGGTTTCCAAAGAACTGAAATGTGTACAAACCATATCTGAAGGACTTTGTTGACCAGCCAGTCTACCACTGCGTTCGTCAACAAGGTTATGATGGAGCCAAGGATTAGAGCGATGAGGAAGAAAACTATAAGAGACAATATGTAGCCTGAAGAAAAAAAAATTAAATGCATAGTGACATAATTTTGTCTCATATAAATGTTAATGTTTGTATAACCCCTTTAACTGGATTTTATTCACAAATTTCCATCCTTAAAACTATTTTTATGCTATGTTAATATGCTAATTTCCTTCTCGCTTTTACAAGATTTACTTCACCAACTATAACAGAAAAACAAAAGATAATATTACGCACCAAACGCAATTGCGATATATTTTTTTAGCGCAGTTATCGGGAATTTTATTTTGTGAAATCAGTTACATCATATTTCCTTCATCTTCCCATTGAAAAACAGAACAAACATATTTTTTTTTTGAGGGGTGGGGGGGGAGGGAGAGAGTTTAGGGTCCCGGGGGCGGGGGAGGGCTGATAGTTGTTAAATGTGCAGTCAACGGCAACAAGTCTATGTGCCAAGTTTTAATTCCATATGTTGACGGGAAGTGGGTGAATTAGCCGTCCGAAGATTTTTTTCCCCCTTACACACATGAACAAAAGCGAAAATTCATATAGAGGATTTTTTAAAAATGTTTTAAAAGATGGCGACTAAATCCATGGGAGTGCAAAGTTAAATATCAAGTCAGTTGAGTTTTTTTAAAGACGTAAATGCAGACAGAGGGCGCCAGCAAGGTACAAAGCGGGCGTTACGATATCCTCAAGACCGTGTAGGACAGCACTGAGAGAGCTATTAAAGTAGAAGGCCATCTTACCCCATAGGATGTATCCGACCTGGAACCCGGCGAACTTGATGCAGCCAACCTGTGTGGACAGCTGTTGTGGTCAGAGGCGTAGGAATGAAGTGGGGGGGGGGGTGCAGAGGGTTGTGTCCGCCCTTTTTGTTCCTTTATTATGAGGGGTGGCATTTTTATGCCGACTGCAAATACATTTTTTTTTTAAAGAGGGGAGGGGAGGGGGGAATATTCGACAGCTTTATCGCAGTCCAACATTGTTACATAGTGGGGGGGGGGGTGCAGAGGGTTGTGTCCGCCCTTTTTGTTCCTTTATTATGAGGGGTGGCATTTTTATGCCGACTGCAAATACATTTTTTTTTTAAAGAGGAGAGGGCAGGGGGGAATATTCGACAGCTTTATCGCAGTCCAACATTGTTACAATTTCTGGTTAGAAAATCGTACAACTGTTTATTGGAAATAAACGAACAATCATGAGGAGTCAACAAGTGAATTAAGTTACTTTGGTGCGGTAGAAATAGGACACAGCGCTTTATCTTGTACACAGTAGTAGGAATACTTTTGAATCTCATTGCCTCGTTCAGGCAACACTTTTGGGCCAAAAAGTAGAACGATGAAAACTTAACACATTTAATTGCATCCATTTTGGCTATTAATGAGCAGCTAAAAATGAAAAGAGAAATTTTTTAGCGGGTTAAACCTTTTTTTTATTTATATTTTGTTACTTACGCACAAAGATACTGCCCCTTGGGTCATAGGTGGTGGAATGCCTGAAAAGTCTCCCTTGTACAAGGCAAAAAGGTTTGCTCTAAAAATAATGTTTAAAAGGTAGGAAAAAACAACTTAAGATCAATTCATACACTAGTTGCCATGACATCATTTCCTGTTTTTGGATTGTTTCTGTTTTGGCTTCACTCCCCAGCTTGTTGTTAAATTTGCATTATTAAATGAGGATGGAATGTTTTGAATTACAATTTTAATGGTTGGTTAATTATAATTTCAACATTTCTTTGGCTGAGTAAATATACTATTTTAATATGTTTCTTCAATATTTTAAAATGGGTTTCGATATTGATTTTCTGTGAACTTTTGAATCTTCTTTTTGGTGAAACATGAAATAAAGTGTATCTTTTATAATATTTGCATAGCTCCGACGGGCGCTAGAAGAAGTTAATCCCCGATTATTTAGTTACCATTTGTTTATATACGGATAGTTGATAAAAACAAAAGTAACTACATAAGTGTCAAACCAGTTACCGAAAGGATGACACCATGTGTAGAATTGTCAGGTAACTGAGGACACAGGCAAGAGATGTGGCGACCAGTAGGGAGTCTGTGGAATAAAAGAAAAGAGGAAAAATCACGTGAAATATGAATAAAAAGTTTGTGTTAACCCTTTAAAATCTTAAATTAAAGTTCTTGAAAGGGACAATCCAACCGTTAACAGCGGAAATTCTGACAGGGCACTTTGAAGGTTGCCCCGCCCCCGAGATCCAACTCCATGGGGGGGGGGGGAGGTGCTTATTTCGTCATTCTTGGCTATGTGTGTGTGTGTGTTAATTTACACTTTCTGTGAAATGGGCTTCAAAATTCAGGTTTCACCCCTGGCGCAGCCATACTTTCCACCACCCTGGTATCAGGAATCATGTGTTTTAAAATTAGAAACTGATGTTTACAAAACTTCCTTTATCGGTAGAGTTAGCAATATGAAACCCAATATTTCAATCATTGCTTTATGAAACCCACTATTTCAATCATTGCTTTATGAAACCCACTATTTCAATCATTGCTTTATGAAACCCACTATTTCAATCATTGCTTTATGAAACCCACTATTTCAATCATTGCTTATAAAACCCACTATTTCAATCATTGCTTTATGAAACCCACTCTTTCAATCATTGCTTTATGAAACCCACTATTTCAATCATTGCTTTATGAACCCCACTATTTCAATCATTGCTTATGAAACCCACTATTTCAATCATTGCTTTATGAAACCCACAAAACTTCATCTAAATTACTGTTAACTTTTAACACGCCACTTCAACTAGATATCATTGAACACAAAACTTCATCTAAATTACTTTTAACACACCACTTCATCTAGATATCATTGAACACGAAGCCTCATCTAGATTACATTTATTACACAATTTCATCTAGATTGCTTGTAAAATAATATATTCCAGCGTCGGTTTTCCCAACTCTAAAACGTTAGAGTAAAAGTTTCAGCACAATGACGGGTGTGTCCGCAAAATAGCACAGTTAGATTGAATACAGATGACATCACAACAATGAAATAAATGCTGACTTACAATAGAGTACAATAAAGAGTCGCGGGACAATGTTGTCCGACTGTCCGATACGGTCAAATTCATTCTTGAAGGCGTCTGCGAATACACCAATGTACCGTACCGTTCCGTACATGAGCTGAACGGTAGCCTGTATGCAAGGTATGGAGGTGTACGTCAATGATGCATACATTATACATAATATTTGGAGGTGTACATTAATGGTGGATACATTATAAATTAGATATGGAGGTGTACATTAATGATGGATACATTATAAATAAGATAAGGAGGTGTATATTAATGGTGGATACATTATAAATTAGATATGGAGGTGTACATTAATGATGGATCCGTTATAAATAAGATATGGAGGTGTACTTTAATGGTGGATACATTATAAATTAGATATGGAGGTGTATATTAATGGTGGATAATTATATATAAGATATAGAGGTTTACGTTTATGATGGATACATTATAAATAAGATATGGAGGTGTACATTAATGGTGGATACATTATAAATTAGATATGGAGGTGTACATTAATGGTGGATACATTATGTATAAGATATAGAGGTTTACATTAATTAGGGTTACATTATATATAAGATATGGAGGTGTACATTAATGATGGATACATTGGACATAAGATCTGAAGTTGTACACTAATGATTGATATATTATATAGTATATATAAGATAAGGAGTTGTAAAATTAATTATGGATTCATTATATATAAGAATTGAAGGTGTACATCAATGATTGATATGTTTTATTTTTAAGATATGGAGGTGTCCTTTAATGATAAATACATTCTATATAATATATCTATGTGTACACTAAGATGGATAGATTATATATATTATATATATATATATATATATATATATATATATATATATATATATATATGTGTATATATATATATATATATAAACTATGTATGTGTATATTGGGATACATTGTTTTTTAAAATATGTTTGTGTATTTTATTGATACAGGCATCATATTTTTATATATATATATATATATATATATATATATATATATATATATATATATATATATATATATATATATATAAACTATGTATGTGTACATTGGGATACATTGTTTTTTAAAATATGGTTGTGTATTTTAATGATACAGGCATCATATTTAGGGTATAGTTGTGTACATTAATAATGGATACACTATAATATATAAGTTTGAGATGCGCATATTAAAGATGAATACTTTATATCAAAGATATTGATGTGCAAAGTAATGATGGATGCATTATATTTAAGCTGTTGGGGTGTACATTAAGGATGAATACACAACATATAAGATATGGAGGTGTATAATAATGATTATACTTCTTCTTCTTTCTTCTTACGCCTTTTACCCCGACCTGGGGCATAGGCCGTCACAAGAATTTTCAACTCATCACGGTCCTGTGCTTTCCTTTCGAGGTTTATCCCATACTTTATGTGTCTGCCTCTAGCTCGCGTCTCCATGTATTCTTAGGCCTTCCTCTCTTTCTTTTCCCCCGTGGATTCCATGATAGGTGTTGTCTGGCGATGCTTTCTGGGGGTTTTCGGAGAGTATGTCCTATTCACTTACATTTTTTTTCTTTATGATGTCTTAATTAATGGGCCCCCCTGCAAGTCCTTTCTAGTGGATCTTTGGTGGTGATGGTATTTGGCCATTTAATGTTCATGACCCAACTTACCATACTCCCGACACAGTTTACCACAATCATGACACGATTTACCACAATCATGACACGATTTACCACACTCCCTACACAACTTACCACACTCACCTCACAGCTTACTACAACTCACCACACAACTTACTACAACTCACCAAAAACCTTACTACAATCACCACACAATTTACTAAACTCCCCCCAAAAAACTTACTACACTCACCACACAATTTACTACACTCCCCCACAAAACTTACTACACTCACCACACAAAATACTACACTCACCACACAATTTACTACACTCCCCCACACAACTTACTACACTCACCACACAATTCACTACACTTCCCCACACAACTTACTACACTCACCACACAAATAATACACTCACCACACAATTTACTACACTCCCCCACACAACTTACTACACTCACCACACAATTCACTACACTCACCCACACAACTTACTACACCCACCACTCAACTTACCACATACCCAACATACACAACACAACTTACCACATAGACAACAATCCCTCCAATGAACATTACTGAAATAAACCTGGACGGATACCGGAAGCCTGTAAAACATTTCAAACACATCGAGTTGATAGATAATTGATCAAATGTGACAATTTATTTATTGCGAGACTCACAGAATGGAATGACTACAGTAGTAAACGTTTGCGTCACAAAGAATAACATAAAAGTAATCTACATTTAATTTACGTTTGTGCACACTTCAATTTTAAGCCACCTATTTTTTGCAGTCTTCGTTTTTTAAAACTCTTAAATGGCATCAATAACTATTTTGAGTGAGTCGATTACATCTACGAAATGTTCTCTAATAATTATACCTAGTAATACAAAGAGAGTGACAGATAGTTAGACCTAGAAATACAAAGAGAGTGGCAGAAAGTTAGACCTAGAAATACAAAGAGAGTGGCAGATAGTTAGACCTAGTAATGCAAAGAGAGTGAGTGGCAGGTAGTTAGACCTAGAAATACAAAGAGATTGGCAGATAGTTAGACCTAGTAATACAGCTTTTCGTCCAGACCGAAAGACTCATTGGGTGGTGGGGGTGGTAACGAAACACCTATTTTTATAAGAGAATGACAGATATCAGACATAGTATTAGTGGGAAGGATATCTGGACCAATTTAGACAAAGAAGGGCGAATAACTAGACTAAATAAGAAAAAAATTAAGTGACGTATATCTCGCTCTAGTATTTCAAAGGGATGGACAAATTTCTAGAACCTATAAGAACAAGAAATTGACGTGTATCTAGATCCAGTAATAAAAAGAGATGGATGGATATTTAGACCTAGTGATACAAAGAGAGTGATGGATATTTAGACCTAGTGATACAAAGAGAATGACAGCTATCAAGACCTATTATTATAAAGAGTGATGGATATCTAGACATATGTTTATCTGAGTAGAAGTAGATAGACCTATCTGAGCTTATCTAACAGAATGTAGACCCATAAAGACGTTTCTAAACCTTTTGAGAACTTTATAGACCTATCCAGACTTTCTAGACCAAACTAGACTTATCTAGTCTTTCCTAGAACTCTCTAGACCCAACTAGACCTATTTAGACCTATCTACGCCTATCTAGAACCACCTCAACCGATCTATACCTATCCGGTCTATCTAGACTCATCTAGACCATTTCGGCAATCTTTACTTATCGAGGCCTATACTGTACTCACCTTCCTCCCGTTTGTAGAGCAAAACATCGATTCCATTCTCAATAATTGACTTGATTTTATTGCCAACGCCAACTGTTGGCCTGAAATAAGATAAAAACTGGATGTACACCAAGTGGTTCCGTTGGGCTGTTAAACAGTAATTACATCACTTTCCTCTCTCTCTGTCCTCTCGGATGATAGGCCTACACTACAGCTAAGTGTTTCTTAATTTTTATTATATATTTTTGTGAATGTCGTTCGTTCGCCGAAGAAGGCTTCTTGCCAACACGTTCGTTGTTTTGTTCCTTTCACCTTTCTGGTTGTCCCATTACTTTGTTTCACTCATCTTCTTCTCAACAATTCATCAGAAGGCCGGTTATCGGTTTTGAAACCAATCAATAACTGTTTGTGAAATTGTACAATACTATAATCCTTACTTTAAAAACAGACATTATGTAAGTAAAAGACTTCAAAAAGTAAGAAACGTAAAAGTCACATAGCGTTCCCAAAAATAGATTATAGTCGCTTGAAATGCAATTCGTCGGGCCTAACAGCAGGCGGGTATTGGGGTTTCGCTATAGAATTCAATTAGCAACTTTTTGTCGGTGCAGATGGCATCATCGCAGTTTACGTATTGATTATAAGAAGAGGTCACGATCCGATATCAAACTGCTGAAAAACGAGAGGTGCTTGACGTTTCTGGAAAATAGTTTTCAGCTGCTGCTTTCGATCTTATCAACTGTGTCAATCTGTTAGGCTTGCATTGTAAAAGCTCATAACAGGTTCAAAACTTTACTCCAAAAAAGAAGAAAAAAACAACAACAACAGATAACCGGTGCTCAGATCGTCTCAAAAATAAATAAATAAACAGTATTAACAATCTAGTTCCGATGTAACTGGAGCATTTGTATTCTTTCCTTTTTTTTAAATTTTATTTTAAAGTCATTTAGCTGGATTTCCACAAGCTTCTGTGTCTAGCTGAAAGAAAAGAGTAAGTCATTTTTTGTTCAGCAGTTCTTGACGAGCTTCCTGTGTTGATTGTGCCATTCCGTCCAAAACATCCACTGTAAGTAGAAAATGACTGACATGTTACAGGTGCAAAAGATGTCTGCCGTCCTCAGCATGACTTCTATCGGCTGGGTCTGCTCTGCTCGCGTTTTATCTTCTTAAGAAGCTGTCGTGGCAGTAAATTTAGTTTACAGGTTGGAGTCTGAGTCCCCCCCCCCTCCCTCTGTTTTTTTTTTAAACATCCGTGAAGATAGTGTAGATTTAGGAAGACGAAATCACAAGGCCTGTGATGTTTTTCTTTGGAGTATTACCTAGTTCACAAGACAGTTCATGGCCTCACTCCACACACCAAAGGAAACACGCCTATATGGATGAAACAACTAGGCCCCAGCAGCGTCGCAGGAAATGGTTCATTGCATCCATCAATTAATCCGCCTTCGGGAATCCTCCATGTCTTTTTTTTTATTTTTTAACTTCAGAGTTTCCTTCTCTTAGATGAGTTGCCATCTGAGGTTAACGGGTCCCATCCACCCGGGTTTGCTGCTGATGTGTCTGCTTGACTTGGTCTTTGGAGACTCAACTCCAGACCACAGGCTTGGGATTGACCAACCGACCAACCCAGCACCCATTGGGCTAAAAGGTAGATTATTAACTGATTTTGTTTATGACTCCTTTAAATTGTTCATATTCTTCAAAAGTAAGATCCGTTATAATGATGATTAAGTGGTGTAAATTTGAGAGAACTATGACAGATGAGTATAATATGTTCTTATAATAGGCGTAGTTCTACTTATTTAATGATTGAAATGACACGTTTTCAATCATTAGACAAATCAGTGGTTCGAAATGTCGATAAATGAAAGTCTTCGAAGATTTCAAAGGGGGGGGGGTCACTCAGACCTCCAAAGGTCCATGTTTATCCGAAAAACGGTTTGTAAATTAATATGATATTCTTCATGATATTTTATTTTTATTGAAATGACACGGTTTCAAACATTAGAAAAATCAGTGGTTCGAAATGTTGATAAATGAAAGTCTTCGAAGATTTCAAAGGGGGGGGGGGGGTCACTCAGACCTCCAAAGGTCCATGTTTATCCGAAAAACGGTTTGTAAATTAATATGATATTCTTCAAGATATTTTATTTTTATTTTTTTTCGGAGTGTGGAATTAGAGGCGAGGATAGACGTCATACTCTCTGCCACTCACAGCGAGAAGAGAAACCGTAGGGGAGAGAAAAGTAATTTGTGGGTTTGTGATGTGTTTGAGGTCTGCACAGAGAGAAATGTTGGGGACAACGACTATCGGTGTAAAGTAGAACAATCGTTCTTTTTTTTTTACTTTACTCTAGAAAAAAATATTCAATATTGTTTGATAAAATGGATTCGTTTATTGATGATCTCTGTCACTACATCAGTTATTTCAAACCTACACTTACTTTAAGACTTACACCTACTTTATGACTTACACTCACTTGATGACTTACACTTATTTATGACAAATACTTTATGACTTACACTTACTTGATGAAACACACTTACTTTATGACTTACACTTACTTTATGACTTAATCCTACTTTATGACTTACCCTTACTTTATGACCTTACACTTACTTTATGACTTACACTTACTTTATGACACACACTTTCTTTATGACTTAAACTTACTTTATAACTTACATGTAATTTATGACTTACACCTACTTTATGACTTACACTTACTTTATGACTTACACTTACTTTATAACTTACACTTAATTTATGACTTACACCTACTTTATGACTACACTTACTTTATGACCTTACACTTACTGTATGATTTCCGTTTTTTTCAATAAGTTCCGGACGTGCCTGCCTTGAAAGGAATCTCTGATTTCGATCAAACTTTCATGTGTTTTCGTTGAAGCTGTCAAGAAATTACCTCGGTAACAAGCGACCACAAATCTGTAGGGTAGCGAGATACTGAGGTATGCTTGGCACAAGAGACTGGGCAGGGCTCTCAACAACGGCACGATGCTATCATCCTGGTTGAAAAATATTTTTTTTTAAATAACACATATAGCTTTACACTTGTTTGACATAATTCCATTTCCATTCACTGCATCCTTAGATTTTTTGATGTCTATTTTGACATCTATAGAGATTGTCATTTAATGGCGGAAATCTATTAATAGAACACGTTTGGGGGGGGGAGGAAGTTTCAGTCCATAGAAGATTTCGAATTTTTAAATTCAGTTATTTTCATGTTGCAAATTCATTTTATTATTAAAAACTTTTTAAATTTATTTTGACATCTATAGAGATTGTCATTTAATGGCGGAAATCTATTAATAGAACACGTTTGGGGGGGGGGGGAAGTTTCAGTCCATAGAAGATTTCGAATTTTTAAATTCAGTTATTTTCATGTTGCAAATTCATTTTAGTATTAAAAGCTTTTTAAATCCCACACACAAAACCATAAAATGCCATTCCGGTGTTCATTAATATGTAAGTGCTGTGTTTTTATAAATGTGTTGTATGAATAAATGCTCTTTAAATCACTCACATTTTTTAAATGTTCATCCAATGTATCTTTTTGGTATCATATTTATCAACTATGCACATTATAAAAATCTGTCTTTTTTTTTTTTTACTTCTTAATTTTCCACATGGATTCATGGATCAAACTTGGGATACATAGTTATATACTTCATTATCCAGAAAGAAATGCCTACGGGGTTTAAAAAAACAAAAAAAACAAAATGGTAATAATTAAGTCCCGTTCAAGTTTGGGGGGCCAAATTTTGTTTTTTCTAATATGACCTATATAAATAAAATTATAATTAATGAAAAGATCTAGACCAAACTTGGTTCAAATTCACCTGAAGGTCTATGCTGAAAATCTTTAGGCTTTTAAACTCATCATATTCACCACGTTTGGGTCCATGGACACTGATTTCATTTTCCTCATATTCGTTATCTCTTAAATGTTCCGCTGATTTTAAAAGGACAACTTTTAACCTATCGGGTGAATTCTTTAGGTTCCTTATCTTAGTGATTTTTATAACCTATTCATATAGAATGGACCCCACCTCCACACCAAAGGGGCCCTTATTTTAATTTTAATGGAAAACGTGAAGAGTTACGGAGTTTAGTTTGAGATGTTTTCGTATTAATATAATATTTAAATCAGCGTCATTTTAATACAAGTTTTTTTTAAAGATTTACATTTTTTTAAATATATAGAACTTTCGAGCAAGTTCTATATTGTTTGATATAAATATTATGGAAATAGCAAAAGAATCTCCATATGTTTATGGAGATTTTAGTTTTTCTTCACAGATTGCTATACTTCATTGGCAATTCCTAGGTATCTGTGAATAAACCTTTTTTTAAAGTTTCCTGTAGTGTTTGAATATTATATTAATGTTTTTTTCTTGTTTCTCATGTTTCATTAAGTCTCTATGATTTAACTAAAATTGTATGACCTCAGCTTGTTTAAACTTTTCTAGACAGTTCGAGTGTAGGATGTTGCTCTACGTAATCTTCCACATAATAATAATAATAATAATAATAAAGTTCATTTCAAAAACACGCTTCATCCCCAAAGGCTCGAAGCGCGGTACAAAGTCAAAAAAAAACAACAAATCTATAGTTTACCACATTTAAAACAAACGCAACACGACAAAAACTAAGTACAAGCATACAATGGCAAAGTCTTTCTAGCCATTTCAACCATAATAGCCAAAGCTATGCACAAAGGATTAAGTTACAGTGTAAGCTTCTAAGCTAGCTGGATAGGTGTTGTATAAATAAGGTTTAAAACTAAATATATGTACTTACAAAAGTGTCCGCGCACTCCTGTGTCTGATACACTTCTATTCCAAAAAAGACCCAGATGTACAGGGAGCCCATGGCGTAGCAGAAAGCTGTTCGCATTGCGAGGCAGGTGAAGATGGGAAAATACACGAGGCCGTATATGAACATGGACACGATGACGATCAGCGCTGGAGATTGGGAGAAATCTCTCATGAGACGTAGCAGGCAGAAAACGTAAGGACGGCATTGAGAAATTTCCATACAGAGCAGACATTTGAAAGAGATATAAAGTGGAGGCATAATATAAATATAACATTTACACACAATTTTACGTTAATTCTTTAACTAATTGAACCTAATTGATACCTATAAGACAGCGGTTTCCAAGATTTTCAAACCGAGGGCCATATTGATAATAAAGCGGGCCACAATGTTATAAATTAACAATGTTTAACCATACAGTAAAGGAAATATAGAGGCCTCGCGGGCGACGTTCTGACAGCTGACGGGGAATAAGGGGCTCACAGGCCGGGGTTGGGGGACCCCTGCTTCAAGACGTCATTTTCAGCAAAAAGTTTTGGACTGTTTATTCGCGAAAATTTATTGTACGTCAACGAGATTGGGAATAATTTATTGTACGTCAACGAGATTGGGAATACTTAATTGTTTGAAATTAACCAATAGGACGATGAGTTTCTAAAAAAATTGTTATAATCTAAAATTTCGGTTGTATCACAGAACCCCTAAATAGTTAAAAGAGCGAAGAAATCTGGTTGTAAAAAAACATTCCCACAAGGTATCTAACAGTTGCTCCATTCACGAAATCATGCATCGTTTACTAGAAAATATCACTCGATGTTATCGAGATAAGAAAGGCAGGCAGTTTGCGATATGATAATTTCCTCCTGCTATTGCGAAAACTCATCGCAATTCCTTATTTTAAAAAGAGGTATCTATGTAATGATATTAGCGTTTATAACATAATTAAAAGTTTTAAAAAGTATCTTTCTGCTATATATTATACGCCTACCCTTACCCCTTTTCGAGCCCCTAAGCACAATTCTTTTATCTGGACATGACTTTATATTACCAAGTCTAAATGTTTACTGATTAAATCATTATTGCCACTAAAGGAGGTCCTTGACGGCTGATTTCTACCCAAGAGAAATTCTTTAGATGTCATGTGTTTTTAAATTGTTAAATGTTGGGCCTACCTTAACACTTTTCTTGCCCTTAAACTAAACATAACAAAATAAAAATAAAAATTGTGAAAACTTAATGTTAAATTTACAACAAAAACTCTATATACAATTTTAAATATATCTTCATTAAAAATGTAACAAATCTTTTGCCTTTTTTTCTACCATGTCATCCGAAAATCGTAAAACTAACAATTCTTTATCCAATGAAAAGAAATCATTTTAATTTAATTTCGCTAAATTAACAACGCACTAAAAACAACAATGTTTTAGTTTTCCTGATAAATGTGATATGAATTAAACTTTAGTGTTAAATTGGATATCCTAGCTCATATACATATATATATATATCATATATGTTTTAACTGTTAACCTCTTCAGCGAACCTTTTATAGCGATTGGTCCGTTGTAGTCTATGGCGAACGACTGGTTTAGAATGATTTCGTAGACCAGTAAGGCGGTGGTACCAAAAGCACAGCAGTATGAAACTCTTGACGATCTCGTCAGGGTATCCATGGGGCTGGGGGTAAGAAAAAATGCATGATACTCACTGAGATGTCTTGACATGCGAATGATCCTATTCTTCTTGCTGTCCTCTCAGATACTAGGTTGCAGCTAAGTGTTTATTTTTATGTTATATTCTTTTTACTGTTGATTGTTCGATGAAGAAGGCTCCTAACCGAGGCGTTCGTTATTTTGTTTCGTCCTATTTTTCTCCTGGTTTTCCCATACTGTGTTCCTTTTTCCTACCCTGATTGCAGTCACCACCACCACCACCCCCAACTCCCACCCTTATTACCATTCTAGCATAGCAATCTTGTCTTGATATTAATTTCTGAAATGAAAATCTACACTGGCGGGTAAATGACTTCTAAATTTTACGAAAGATTTTACAAATTGNCAGAGTGTGCCAATAAAAGTGAGAACATCTGGTAGCATGTGAGTTATTTCAAAATATAATTTAATTAATTATAATTCTTCATGGAGTTTTTGTTTGGGTTTTTTTTTTTTCAAAATATTGAGCTAATGAGAAATCCTGTTCAATGTGTCCTCCTTGCTTCTCAACGACTTTTTCCAAGCGTCGACGCCACTCGTTGATGCTTCTGACAATGAAACGTCGCCCAAGATTTCGACATTCCTCGATTATTGCCAACTTGACCTGCTCAACTGGAAAATTTTCGCCGAAGGTAGACTTTTTCTTGCAAATCCCCCCATATGGCATAATCTTTATGGGTTTAAATCTGGGATGTTGGGTGGCCACGTGTCTGGCTCGATGATGTGATTAATCACATTTTACGAGATGTTCTCACTTTTATTGGCCCACCCTATATATATATATATATATGTTATGAAATACATTGCTAGTAGATATGGTTCATGAAAATTCTGCTTAAAAATAGTAAAATAACGTAATGCGATGTGACGTTTTCCGGATCTGAGAAATGACAAACCCTGTTGGCGCTTTAGCAAATTCTGTGACTTCCGGTGACTCTTGTATAAACTGCAGGTATCATAACTTTGATAAGCGTGTGAATACAAATCGTTGAAGCAAATAAAATCAAGCGCACTTACAAGACAAGTCCAGGCCGGCCGTGTAAGAAATCCTGGAACAGACGTGTGCGATGTTTGCTGAAAGCCATCAGAAGTGACAGCACCACCTTGAAGAAGATGGAATATAACATAATGTAAGGCAATGCTATGTAATTCAATTTGATGACATGAGATTGGCGTATATCCAGTCAAGGGATTCATCCGGTTCGCAGCGGTTTAAGAGAACCGATACCTAATTATTTTAGTTTTAGTGTGGCAAACCGATTTGTTAAAATTGCAACCTGCAATCTTAAATAACAGCTTTATCGTTCTTCGTGAGGCAGAAATCAGTTCATAAATTTTCATTCAATTTTTCTAAAAAAAAACTCTTTCTGATAGCATAGTTTAGTTGTGTGTATTGTTCTTATCCGAGTATTTACTGCATGAAAGAATACATTTCTTTTGGTTCATCGTTTTTTTATAAACTCCAAACAGCCATTATAATAATAATAATAATAATAATAATAAAGTTCATTTCAAAAACACGCTTCATCCCCAAAGGCTCGAAGCGCGGTACAAAGTCAACAAAAAACATATCTATAATTCACCACATTTAAAACAAACGCAACACTACAAAAACTAATTACAAGCATACAATATCAAAGTCTTTCTAGCCATTTCAACCCGGAGCAGCACAGCAACACATGGAAAATAAGGTAGACAATCATCCAGGGAACCAGTTTGTTACATTCTTGGAATCCCACATCCTTGTCTAATAATATTATAATATAATACAAAACAAAAAAATATAATATTAATATAACATGATACATTTGTTACGAGCTGCTTGCATTAGCAGTCAAATGGCTTCATTAAGTCTAGGGGTATTTGGTAAACAGGTCCAAAATAATTATTAAATTTAAATATATTTTCTTAATTCAAGTCGCCTTCTTCATTCCATTACCTCTCTGCAACACATCAACGACTAAAACCGGAAAAACCAGCAACATTATCTCTCACAACCAAAAACGTCAAAAAATACAAAGCACAATTAATCTCCGCACCAAAACGCGCACGCATTGAACAAATCATTTACAACAATATTATGTAATTTAGTGTCGTGAACATTTTGTATTAAAACATGCTGTTTCATATTTTAATCAATTTCACTTTGATTTATATATTTTATATTAGATTTAGTTTATTTGTGGAAATGAATATTTTGTTGTAAATTATTATTTGTCCACACATCTTGAAAATATTAATTAATTTATTTATTTATTTTTTGGGGGTAAAATAAATACATATGAGACTTTCAGAAGTCATTACAATACCGCGTTATATTAGTATTCGCATTACAGCTGGTTTTCACTGCACCTGGAGAAAACATGTGTGCTTTCTGTACCACGGGTCAAGGGGGCCAGGCGGTCAAGGGGGTCAGGCGGTTTAAGGGGGTCAGGTGGCGGTGAAGGGGGTCGGGCGGTCAAGGGGGTGGGGCGGTCAAGGGGGTCAGGCGGTCAAAGAGGTCAGGCGGTCAAGGGGGTCAGGCGGTCAATCAATACAGTTGTAGTAGAAAATATACAAAAACTTTTAAGTGAATTATAACAATATGATCCCTCTGACAGACACACATAAAACAGTATTGACACACTCAACACAAAGTTTGACCCATTCAACACAATTTCTGACATACTTACCACAATGTCTAACACGTAACATTTAAAAAAAAATTACAATTCAAACAAATAAAAAAACTGATGTTTGGGTAGATTACAAACCAAACACCATTGCATTACTCACACTGATTGAAAATCTTCAGATCTAGTTTGTGATTCGAAGTATTACCAACAGCACTATATTCATATTTATGGCTGCGGCTGTGTTACCGACATTAAGCATTACATATATCAATGGGTTACCGGAAATTTGATCGAAAGAAATTTCGTCGACGGTAAATTGATCGACGGTAATTTGATCGAACGGAAATTTGATCGAAACCTTTTTTCAGTTCACACGTTAAAATTTTTGCCAAATTTCTTTTTGAAGGCACTATATTATATAGTAAAACAAAATAATGCGTTCAAAAAGGAATTTGAAACAAAATTTTAACGTAAAAACTGAATAAAAGATTCGACCAAATTTCCGTTCGATCAAATTACCGTCGATCAATTTACCGTCGACGAAATTCCTTTCGATCAAATTTCCGGATACGATATCAATGCATGGCTATCAGTATCAGCGACACACAGAAACGAACAGTTTGATCACTAACTTACAGCAGGAATGAGGGAGAACTGGAAGAACTTGTAGTGATCTATCTTAGACTCACATTCCAACCTGTGAATAGAGAAACAGAAGCATCAGCTTGTCAACTACTTAACACTCGTGGTGGACAAAGTATCTGATACGATGTTAGGTCAAGAAAAAAAAAACAACAACTAACTAGCTAGCTAGCTAACTAACTAACGCACATACTCTGTTGAAGATCTGAGATGACTTTTAAGGCATGCTTTATCTTTAAGGCAGGTCGAGGGCTTTGAAGTTTGTAAATGGTTTTGTTGGTTGTTGAATAAGATGATTTAAAGGGTTCTCAAAGGGCTGGGGAGTTTTTTGTTTTTTTTTTTTTTTTTTTTTTTTTTTTTTTTTTTTTTTTTTCTTTGTTATTTGTTTTTGTTTTTTAAATGGATAACTTGACAGCAATACTTATTTATACAATATTTCCCATGACACCTAATTGACTTCCAAACAGGATTGATTCGAAGTAACGTAACGTGTCTTCAATTGGACTTATGACAGCTGCGGATAGTTTACGCATTCGGGCTTGATGAAACTAGTGGTCGGGCCACTGCGTAACATGATAGCTGTGAACTACACAAGACATGGTTATTGATAGCGGCCCCATATAAGTAAATTATTATTCTAATGTAGTTAACACAACAGACATCATACTTTTTTTTAAACATGGTAAGTTAATCTCAAAGTCTGCGTCACCCCCCACCACCCAATAATTCAAGAATCAATCTGTATCGGTACCCTCAAGAAACTCTTTGCTACCTGGATGTCAGGATTTTTCCATGAGTGCTAGAAAAAAAAAAGAAGAAAAAAAAGTACCCGGGAACAGAAGGTATTCACACAGCATGGGAAGAAGGACAAGGTGGGTTTTTTTTGGGGGGGGGGGGGGGACGACGACGACAAAAGACATGACTTACGTGGTGGTGTTGGTTTCATTAAGGAGTCCCAGCAGATCTGGAATTAAATTCAGGAGATCTTTCATGTCACTCATTGTGAGTCCTTTGTTGCAACACCTTCCAAAAATAAAATAATAAAATTGTATACGCATTGAAAGGATGGTTGGCTAATTGTTGAGAGACTTGCATCGTTTATTTTTCTGTTTAAAGTAAAAATGTCGAAATCTCAAGATGTTAGTCAACATTAATATTTATAATTAGTGACTTGGGATTTTACAAGAACAATGGCCAGCGTTTTAATATAACATTTATTGAAATGGCACTCGGTTGTCAAAATATTTAGTCAGTGACTGAACATTTAGTTAGTGGGTCGATTACGGTAGACATGGCCTGTGCATTTGTGTGTGCGTGCGCACGCGTGTGTGTGTGTGTGTGTGTGTGTGATGTGTGTCAGCACACTATTTGATGTGTCCGGCGAATATTGAATCGGTAGACCGAATACTTGGCTTTGTCCGAGATTTTTTTTTTTTTATTCCGCCGCATTATCAAAACTATTTCTTGACTTTAGCTCGGACCTCAAAGTCTCACTGAATAATGCTTGAAAAATGATTGGGGTCTTAAAGACATTTTGCTATTAAATGTGGCTATGAAATATAAAAGCGTTTAAGAGCTAAGTAAAAATTAAATGTGTCCCGTCATTTCACCCGTAAACAAAAACGATAATCATTTAATGGGAACTTTTTCATTAAAAAAAGCTTTTGAACACGGAATGTGGAATATTGAACTGTTCAAAACGTGTAATTGCCTAGGCCTGCGTTTATTAAATACATTATATATACATACATATGGAATGCGGAAAGGGAATATTGTAAAGTTGGCTTAACTTTAAGGCACGTGCTATATGTGCATATAACAGTAATACCACACGTAAACACGTAAAGTCATGCGAGTGGGGTTTTTTTTAGAAACGGAAGATCTAAATCATTTTGGTTTCTTTTCTTTTCATTATAACTTCATCAAATGATGTCTACACAAATGTAATGGTACGTCTTTTAAAAAGAATGAGCTTTATAGCCGTCCACCTCTTTTAAAATTGGTATTGTTTTCTTGTGTTGTTTTGTTTTATGAATAAAATTTTGTGTATAAATGGTATATTTTCAAAGCAGTCTTATGCTTATAGTTATGACTATTGTTGCCGGAAATTAGTAGGAAATCTATTTGTTTAAAACAAATGTATACGAGGGAAAATTGTTCGAACGGATGTAAGTTCTGACAAAGTGGTTTCGTTCTAATTTATGGACACGAAAAAAAAATGAATTAACTTCATCTCTTCAAGTTGACGTTGAGTAGAGGCTATCACTGTGGTTTTATAATGTAAATAAGAACAGGGAATAGAGTGTGCTTGACTCTGAGCCACATTTCTAGACACGTTAGATAATACGGACGTCCCATCACAAAACTTCATGAATTAAGCCTGTCTGATCTAACAACTGAAACTACATTCACTAATTACCAAAAAAAAAAAAAAAAAAAAAAAAAAAAAAAAAAAAAATAAACAAATAAAAAATGAATTAAATAAATAAATACAATAAGAAGATTTATTTTCGTGTGCTTCTAAATAAAAACTAGAAATATTAAATCGTTTCTTAAATCTAAAATCTAATTTACTATAGGCAAGACTGAATGTATATTGTTTTAAAATTAAATAAATCGGAACTATGTGACAATTTTCATTGTTTCGGCAACCAACATAAACGTATTCCAAAATAGCAACATACCATAGAAGCGTTAGGCCGAGTAATCCATTTCACTCAAACATCCGATATGCAGGAGAGCAAAAGATATATTCGATTTCATGGTGACGTCTAAATAGCCGCTTCAGAATCTGATATCCATCACTGAATACATCGTCTATCAGTTGACCTCACAGACGGCTGATCCCTTCTGCCCTGCCTACACGTCATGCTAGACTGAGCACGGAATCGGCCCAGTTCGATACTGTCAGTGAACCGAATCGATAGTGAGAGTGATATCTATTTACTCACAACCAACCAGACCTATGGTTGATGTGTTTCGCCTATCGTAACAGATGTGAATGTAGGCCTAAGGCAGGGACAGGAAACTGTTGTTTTTTTTTTTATTGTGAAGAGTCATACGCTTTGAAAATATTTAGGCCGCCACAGGTAAAGGGGGTGGGGGTAGGATTGGGAGAGAAAATGACACTTACCTGGGAGATACACTTTACTTCCGTTGCTTTAAATTTAGGAAGGCTTAAAAAAAAACACAAATTGTATTATCAAATCATCATTTTTAACGAAACTTGTTCTTGTACAGGCTACAAAGATAACGTTATGATAAATCGTAAAAACGTATCTAACATTTTGAAAGTGTTAAATAAGATAAAGAATGATTCTCCTTCTACAGTCACAAAATATTTGAATTAAATCAAACAACTCAATATTTAGTGAAGATATTAAACGAACAAAAAAATAATTTGAAAAAAAAATAAGGCTGAATTTATTTTAATTTTCAATTAAGTTCAAAGAACATCAAAGTTGATAAGAATTTTATTTTAAAAAAAACAACATATGAATGATTATTAATTTACAAAATAGCAGCTTTTTTTACATTCAAAAAGTCGTAATTCCTCAGTGGTCTGTGGATAACCTGCAAGTGATCTGTGGGAGATCTGGGTATGATCTGGGTATGATCCGTGGATGATCTGTGAATCATTCAAATATGAGGGCATTGTACAGTTGATTTGCAAGGCGATAACCCATATGAGCCGGGTGCTGATGGTTAATGGCGACATTCCAATATGATTTATGGATAGATGACATTTAAGGACATTAAAAAGTGAGGCAGGGAAAAAAGATATTTAAGGACATTACTAAATGAGGCAGGGACAGGTGGTATTTTAGGATATTTCACATTGAGGCAGGGACAGATGGTGTGTAAGGACATTACACATTGAGGCAGATGGTATTTAAGGATATTAAACAATGAGGCAGGGACAGATGGTATTAAGGACGCATTAGACAATGAGGCAGGGATGTGTTTACATCCCAAAATAATCCATGTTTCACTATCGCTTTTCGTCCATTGAAATAAAAGCTTTTACAGTCAGGAAAAAAAGACTGTAAAAAGAATATGTGAACTTATTTATTTCGAGAAATCCTTCCTTATACTACTATGAGCTCTGCGTTTTCTGAAAATAAATATAATGTTTTCAGAATATGCACAGTTTTACCAGTAGCATTTAGGCCTAGTCTTGTGTAAGAGGTTGAGCGCCAATAAAGTGAGAACCTTTGAAGTACTCCTGAGAAAGTGTATCCTGGTCCTGCTATTGGTGTGTTCACTGAATGGTACAAGATTTTTTTTTTTCAAATTGTATAGAAATGACTTCTATTTTTTTTTAAAATATATATTCTTGTACACATAGGCGGGGTAAGAGTTCGGCGTGGTGTGTGTGTGGGGGGTGGAGGGAAGGATATATTTGTACATGAAATTAAGCCCCCCCCCCTCCCCACACCTGCATGGCCTACATAACGTAAAAATAACGTTTTAGCTGCAGCTGACATTTAAAAAAAAAAGAATACATTCAGTGAAGGAGAGTAATTTCATTTCTAAAGTCAAGTGTATTCAACTGAACCGTGCAGATAACGTCCGACATCCCGGCCACTTCTTTTATGAAGTTGTGGATCAAAGCCCGACCAGCTGAAAGGCGAGAAAAATTAACTTATTTAAACATTTAGGCTAAGGAAGAATCATAACTGGGTTATGTTACACACTAAGGACCAGCAGCCATTAAGGTGTCCAGTTTTGAATTCCTCTTTTAGTCCAAAGGCGACGGGGAAAAAAAGTTGGGAGTTCAAACGAGTGGATTAGTATGGATAACATTTATGGGGTGTTCACATGATTCCTATAGTCTAATGTAGGGTTACTTGAAATGTTCAATGAAAAAATCACTTACAGGAAACTGAAAATTTTAACTAAGAATTCAAGTTGGTACTAAAGTGTAAATTCTTAAATAAATTCCCCTAGTTAATGATATCAATATAATTCTGACCCATTAGACCAGGGGACGGGAACCTATGGCTCGCGAGCCAGATGTGGCTCTATTGATGGCTGCGTCTGGCTCGCAGACAAATGTT